TGGAACCCAATACCCGGGTGAGGTCACAGACTCAGGGTCTCCTAGGTTCTATCTACTTTTTTGAAAGCTTTACCATACTGTTGACTCAGGAAACCTCCCTGACTTTCTTGCTTGTGCTGCTGTTAAGACACAGCCCCCATTCTATCCTCATGCAGTTTTTGGACACACACAATTACACTGGATAAATTCAGTCTATTATTCTATTGGGAAGCTTAGAGTGCTGTTCTGTCTTCTAGCAAACCTCTTTCCAGCTTAATTTCCCTGCTAATTTGATCAGGATGCCATCAAGCCCTCATCCAAGTCCAAACAGGACAAAGGCAAGGTGAGCATGCATTCACTCATCAGTCAACAAATTTATGGACAGCCTGCTACATGGCAGCACTGGGCTAGGTCCTAAGGATACAAAGGAAGGCAAGAATTGGCATTTTCTGCTCTCACAAAATTTACTCTAATGGAGAAAAAAACATTAATCAAATAATCACTAATTATTATATTATTACAAACTGAGTAGGTGTACTAAAAGATCAGAGTATGGTTCTATGATAGCATGTAACTTGACTCAGGCTAGGGTCTTAGGAGAAAGTGACACTGAAGCTTGAGCAGGGAAAGGCGGATAAACCAGATGGAGGGTATAGCCGAGCATTGTGCTATTAGAAAACTTTCTTCAGGTTATTAGTTAGTAGGCTGCTTAATTCCACTACTGTACAGCTTCCATTTCTCCACCTTGTCTCAAAGGTTATTTTGTATGATAGACTGACTGTCCAAGGCCAAACTAAAGTCTAGTTCATCAATCAGTTCTTATAGAATCCACTTTCTTGAAGCCAGGAGCATTTGCCTAACTCGAGCTTTCTCGCAACATCCCCTTATACACGATCCTTCCAAGTCAACAACTACATTTTCAAAACACCATCTCTAAGTTTTCTTCACATTCAAGATGTAATTTATCAGAATCAGACGACTTAAGAATTAATTTAAACAGCTAGAATGGTATTTTTCAAAGTGTGACCCCAGGACCAACTACATCGGAATTACCTAAGGTGCTTATTAAAATGCAGATTCCTCGGCACCATCCCAGACCAATTAGAGTTGATGGGGCTTAGGAATCTACATTTAACAAGCTCCCCAAGTGATTCTTCTACTTTAATGTTTGAGAATTCCCGAATTAGTTGTGTTCTCACAGCATCCACACACATGAAGCTTCAATTCTCCCACATTTAATCCCCGAGTCTGAGGTGCATTGGAGTAGTCTGGCAAAGAGAAAGCAGGGTTTTGGAGTCACAGACTTGGATTCAAATCTGCTTCTACTACTTGCTATCTAGGTGAGCTTGGACAAGTTACTTAATTCTTCCAGGCCTCAGTTTCTTCATTGATATCATGTGGATAAGAATATCTACTTCATAAGGATGTGGTTGCAATTAAACAAGGGAGTCAGAACTATGAGAGAAAAACCCTATCATTCTTGGGAACATTTATTGAGGCCTACATACCATTTATAACAACATGAATAAAACATCATCAGGCACTGTGCTGCATACCATGTATACCAGGATGAAGGAAATCGCCCATCTCATTAATTTGTTGTTTTTTGCACCTGTCCCTTTATGGTTAAGGTACAAATTATTTTTGAGCCTTTTTCAACCCTTGTGCTGAGTCCCATGAAATAACGTAGATTTTTCTTCCCCCTTGAATTGTCTGAAGATTCCTTACCTCTGTACTTATGCCAAAGTCCTGAACCTCTAGCATGGGCTCAACCAGAATCTTCTTCTCCAGCCTCATCTCTCACCCAACTCCCCCTGAGTTAGAGCGCCTAGGATCAAATGCTGGTTCTGCTGCTTATCAGTATAAGGCCTTGGTGAAGTTACTTAAACTCTCTGTGCCTTCGCTTCCTCCTCTGTGAAACAGGGATAAACAGCGCCTACTTCGTGAGGATTTTACGAGTATTAGACGATATCTAGTAAGTACTGTGTTAGCTATTCTCATGTCACACAGCACCCACACAATCAGCTGCTTCCTCTCGGTTCTCTGAAGGCTCTAAGCTCCTTCTCACCTCAGGATTTTCACTATTGCCTTTGCCTGTAATGTGCTCTGCCTCTTCTCATTCTTCAGGCTTAAATGTCATTCCTCTGAGGCGGCTTCCTGATCCCCCTCACCCAACCACTTCTTAACGAAATAGGTTAAGAACCCCTGTTAAACACTCACTCACTCTGTATTTTTCCTTTGCAGCACTTATTATCATAATTCAATGTTTACTCCATTAAAATAGGGAACATGTCTGTCTTACACTGCTCTGTATCCACCCTGATACTTAGCACAATTCCAAGTCCATAGTAGCACTCATAAAATATGTTAAGTATTTGATGAATGAATGATTTCTTAAATCTGACTATGCTCTATCTCTCTCTCGGGATTGTAAAAAACCTCTAAAAATCAGTCACTTTTTGCCCAGGGGCAGAACTCTTCACTCCCTTTACCTTCTGAGATAAAATTTTCAGAAATGCAAATCAAGAACTTAACAAATGTTTAATTTTTGGCTGAATACTCCCAGGAGTATGTGTCTTGACTCCAAGCTACTTTAGATCCGCACTGTTCAATACGGTAGCTGCTACCATATGGGGCTACTGACCACTTGAAATGTTGCTAGTCCAAACGAGATGTGTTGTAAGTGTAAAACACACACTGGATTTTAAAGACTTGGTACCAAAAAAGAATGTTAAATACCACATAATTTTTTATATTTATTACATGTTGAAATGATAACATTTTGGAAATACATAAAATACATTAAAATTAATTTCATGTTTCTTTTTACCTTTTTTAAATGTGGCTACCAGAAAATTTATTTTTACAGCTTGCATTAGATTCCTATTGGAAATTTAGACTATCTGCCTAAAAGGTATGTTGTATTTCCCCACAACATCCCTCCGTTTCCTCTCATTTTAATTCATAACGAAACATACTCCAAATTCTTTCACGGAGTTCTCAATGTTGATATTTCTGATGCATGAGCTATTTCACTACCCTGTGAACAAGTCTGATTCCTTTAAAGATTTTTTTTTTTTATTTATTTATTTTTCCCCCAAAGCCCCAGTACATAGTTGTCTGTCATAGCTGCACATCCTTCTAGTTGCTGTATGTGGGATGCGGCCTCAGCATGGCTGGAGGAGTGGTGCCTCGGTGCGCACCCGGGATCCGAACCCGGGCCGCCGGCAGTGGAGCGCACACACTTAACCGCTAAGCCACAGGGCCGGCCCTGATTCCTTTAAATACGGCAGTTTCCTACAGCCATATTCAATCCCGGGTCTCATCACACCAAATCCTAATGGACTGGAGATTTACCATCCTGTGGCTAGTTTTTTATTTATACTATAAACATTATGGTTAAGAATACAAGATCTGGAGCAGACCACCTGTTTTGGAGTCCTAGCTCTACTACTTATTAGCTGTGTAACTTGTTACTCTTAACATGTTTTTTTTTGTGAGGAAGATCAGCCCTGAGCTAACATCCGATGCCAATCCTCCTTTTTTTCGCTGAGGAAGGTTGGCCCTGAGCTAACATCCGCGCCTATCTTCCTCTACTTTACGTGGGACGCCGCTACAGCATGGCTTGACAAGCAGTGCACCCGTGGTGCTGGGGATCTGAACCTGTGAGAACCCCGGGACACCGAAGCGGGGCACGTGCACTCAACTGCTTGCGCCACTGGGCCGGCCCCAAGTTACTCTTAACATCTCTGTGCCTCCGTTTCCTCAACTGAAAAATGAGGATGATAATAGTGTCTACTTCATAGGGTTGAGAGCATTAGTTGATATTGGTAAAGTGCTTAGAAGGTGCCTGGCATGTGATAGCGTTAAGTAACGACTACTATTTGTGTCGTTATACACATCCTCATCCTTCCCATCTACTTAAATCTTCTTTTATAACACTGGGCACCTTTCCTAGTGAGTCGTTCTTTCCAAATCTAAGATTTTATGCTCGGATCTTCTAACTCCAAAACTCGGCTACTCTCCAACTGAGTAGCACTTGGGTAAGGTACTTAACCTCTCTCACTTTTCAGTTTTATCTGTAAACGAGAGTGGATATTGCCACCTTCCTTGCACAAGTTTGAATAACACAATGTAGTATACAAAGCTCCTTGCATGGTCCTTAGCGCTTTACAGATACCTCCTATGCATTTTCTGGTTTAATACATGTGATCCTCACAACACACCATAACGTAGGTATTTTACGAAGAAGGGAACAGGATCGGGGAAGTCAAGACTTGCCCGAAGTCGCACAGATTGCTAAACGGCAGCACCAATACTGGATCAAGGTTTCACTCCCAGTCAAACGTCTTTTCACGACACCAAAGCTGCTTTCCAAAAGCATGAGCGCTAGAACTAAATTAATTCATGCTATTTATGGAATTCCAGTGTGAAGAAATGCAGAAAACGGCAAAGTCAGTCTAATGCCGTGCTGCCCACTGAAACTGCAACAGAAAGTCAAAACACAGGTTTTGTTAATACCATTATTAGGTCAAAGAATCCGAGAGCCCTCAAGTCAGCGACGTGGATAAAATTTCAGTAAACAAAACAAAGCGACGAAGTTTCTCTAGCCCCTGAGGACAGTGCGGACTGCGGGGAGCAGGTTCAACGGTCCGGCCTTCGGGGCTGGGCCGGTCCAGGGCCCGGCTACGCGGCCCGGCCTCACCCAGACCCAGAGGAGGCCAGGGCCGCGCTGGCCGCCTGATCCTCCCCCTCGGATCTCGGGGCCCAGCGCTGCGCCCGCCCGCCTCTCACCTCCGGCTCCGGGCGCTCCGAGGCCATCACACAGCCCTCCCGCGCCGGCCGGGGCCAGAAAAGACGTTCCACTCGTGACCCCTGACCCGGCTACCGCGCTCCCGACCGGAACCAGAAATGAGTGCGAGGGCCGACTTCTGAGTTTTCTGATTGGTGGACGACGCCCTCTCCGAGTGGCTGGCTGACTTGGAAACCGGAAGAGGAAGTCGCCGCCGCCGCCACTGCCGCCGCAATGCAGGTGAGCCTGGTCGGGGCTCTTGACCGCTATCTGGCTTCGGATAACCGGACCGAGAGTGGGCTGGCTGAGGAGAGAGTGAGGAGTTGGGGCTGAGAGGAGGGAGCAGAGCCCGCAGCTGACGGATGAGGGAACGCGGGATGCGGGGCGACGCTGACTGGAGAGGGAGAGACGCGGATGAGAGATGGGGTGGAGCCCGGCTGGCAGGAGACAGAGATGCGGCGAGGTTGGGAGGGAGGAGGCAGCACTGACTTGCTGGAGTGTGGGAAAGGATCAGGTTGTAATTTGGGAAGGTTGAGATGCAATCCAAGGCAGACGGCTCGGGGAACTGATGGGCTGGCTCAGGCCCCGGCCTAGGCTGTTGGATGGACGCTGTTGGATGCAGACATAACAGGGCATCTGTAATTGGAGGGAAGCCCGAAGAGTGAAAGAATTGTGGGACCGCGGTGGCCGAAAGCTAAGGTAATTATAATCTGAGGCCATGGGCGGAACCAAGGATCAAGGCTCCTGTTCTACACGTTGGCGAGTTTGCAAGACGGTTTTGCATCATTCTTCCCAACCTGTGCCTGATAGTTGTTAAGGATGAGGAAATGAAGTAAAACTGGAGACCATAAACGGGAAGGAAATGCGTCGCAGACCCCCCCCCAGCATTTAAAATTGTTTGTCTAGTGTTTAGGACCATGTGCATTTTTTTGTCTTTCATTTGTCACTTAGTTTCTTGCAGCTGGTAGTGGTGCAAGAAACCAGTCTTAATTTCTTGCACTGGTAGTCTGTCAGTAAACGATTATAGGTTGACAAAGCTTGTGAGAGGGGCACAGGAATATTGGCACAGAGATAAAATGAGTGCAGATTAATTCATCAAGGAGGAGGTTGTAACACCAGATGCTGAGGGCAAATGAAGAGGGGAGAGGTGGTGGTGCAAGGCTGGTATTCAGAGAAACCTTCATGTATAGGCAGATTTCCCAGAGATTGTGTCATTGGCAAGAACAGCCAGGTTCACAAGGCAAGTTCTAGAACAGAGGAAGCTGGAGTACATATGCTGCAGAGATATGCAAAAGATAATAAATCCAAGGCATTAGGTCTCGTGAAAATTTCTCAGTGAGAGAGACTAGTACCTAATACAGAGAAAAACCAGGCATGGATTAGGAGATGATGCAAGAAAGGAATCAGTTGGCAGGAGGAATTGATGTCATGTGAATGGGTTTAAAGGTCTAAGGGTTGATGCTGTCTATAACCCAAATACCAAAGATAGACAAAAACCTGTCTCTTCTATGCCAACAAGATCCTGTGTTACTTGACTGATGTTGCACACTGTCATCCTGGCATTTCAGCCTTCCTCTGTGTGTGTCATACTCACACCCGTCTGGGTAACCAACCTATTCCTATTGATGCAGAGGGAGGAGAAGCAGCTTGAAGCATCGTTAGATGCACTGCTGAGCCAAGTGGCTGATCTGAAGAACTCACTGGGAGGTTTCATTTACAAGTTGGAGAACGAGTATGACCGGCTGACCTGGTAAGGGTTGCCAGAGCAAGCTGGGGAGGGCTCCATGAGTGGGGAGCCAGGACTCTTGGTGGATAGGACATCTCCAGTGATGTAACCATTTATCAGTTAGCAACTATTTTTTTGTTTGGAAAGAACTGGGTTTCCCAACATATAACAAGTGGAGTTTGGCTTAGGGCCTCCACTGCAAGGAAGTAGAGAGGTGCCCAGTTTGCCAACCCAGGTTCTTTCTAGCTTTTGATTCTCACCCTTTGACTTTTCTAGGAGGAGGTCCTCCCTCAGTGTATCCTCCCACTATAGTAGGAATACAGTATTCATATTGGATTTCTTGGCATAGATGGTGCTGAGTCTTTTAGGTCCACCTACTCGGAGAGTGTGGATCCTATTTCCAGGCTAGAAAGGAGGCTTTTACCCAGTTTCTGAATTTTTAGTGATAACAGTGTAGCCATGGTTCCTATTTTGCCACTGTTCCTCACCCCATTCAAATAATGACCTGCCTTTTTTCTCCATCTATGTCAGAAACTGAAGCGTGTCCCTCTTTCCTAACCACGTAATCCCTGTGAGCCAATCTGGTTCCTGCCCAGCCCAGCCACAGGGCTATGAATCTTTTTGGGGTGAGTCTGGGTATTCCTAGTCTGAAGGACCCCTTTTAGGCTGCTTTACTGGGAACATTCTGACACCCTCTTACCACCACCAGGCCCTCTGTCCTGGACAGCTTTGCCTTGCTCTCTGGACAGTTGAACACTCTGAACAAGGTCTTGAAGCATGAAAAGACACCACTCTTCCGTAACCAGGTCATCATCCCTCTGGTGTTGTCCCCAGACCGAGATGAAGATCTCATGGTAAGAGGAGGAGAAGGGTACAACTTGGGGAATTAAGTTCTTAGATGAGGACTCAGAGCACAGTTGTTGGTTGGTTATTCTAGAAGTTCTGAATGTGGAGTAGTGTGTGACAATAAGAAGCAAGAGCTGCATTTTGGAGGCCTTGCTTTTTGTCCTTCTGGAGTTGGGGGAGCCACTCCCAAATAGTGGTGAATTAACCTGAGGCCTGTGTCACCAAGGCAAAGACCTTTCTCCTCCAACCCCTATCTCTAGCAAAAAGTATGTTCCTTTGTGACTTTGTCTATTTCACTCTTAGATTAAAATGTGGTAGAGAGAGTTTGCCCCCAGGTCTGGTAGAGACAGAGGTGTGAGGAGACAGAAATAAAGGATGGAGTGAGGAGAATAGTGTCCTAGGAAGCTAGATATTATAAGTCTCAGGTTGTGTTTTCCCTGAAAATGCAGTGTTTGCCTGTGGAAGAAACTATATAGCAGGCCAGATTGAATCTTCTTGGAGTGCATAGTAGGATCAATAAAATCTGTGTGTTACAGCGGCAGACTGAAGGACGAGTGCCTGTCTTCAGCCATGAGGTGGTTCCTGACCACCTGAGAACCAAGCCTGACCCTGAGGTTGAAGAGCAAGAGAAGCAACTGACAACAGATGCTGCCCGCATCGGTGCTGATGCAGCTCAGGTTGGACTGAGTCACTGCCCTGCTGCCCCCCACCCGCAAGTCCCATCATGAGAAGCTAGGCATTACCATTCCTGTCTGGTAGGGATGCACAGTTGGTTATACCTAAGTTGCCCCTGGAAGAGCACAAGGAATAAACTTCCCCATGATCATTTTTTGTTTGCCCTAATCTCTGCACAAATTTATGTGTTACAGAAGCAGATCCAGAGCTTGAATAAAATGTGCTCAAACCTTCTGGAGAAAATCAGCAAAGAGGAACGAGAATCAGAGAGTGGAGGTATGCAGGGATTGGTGGCAAAATGGAGAAAGAAAGAAGGATAAGCTCCTTGGAACAGGAGTGGTGGTTTTGTTAGTAGTGAAGCAAGGACATAAGAGTATGCCTCCATTCTGTTAGCCTTTTGTATTTAAGGACAGCCCTGGAGCAGGTGGAGAAAATGAGCAAAATGAGAAGGGAGGGGGCAGGCCCTGTGGCGTAGTGGTTAATTTCGCGCATTCTACTCCAGTGGCCGGGGGTTCGCCGGTTCGGATCTTGGGCGTGGACATACTCACTGCTCATCAAGCCTTGCTGAGGCATCGTCCCACATAGAAGAACTAGAAGGACTTACAACTAGGATATACAACTACGTACTGGGGCTTTGGGGAGGGAAAAAAAAGAGGAAGATTGGCAACAGATGTTAGCTCAGGGCCAATCTTCCTTAAAAAAAAAAAGAAGGTAGAATTCTGAGATAGGTGTGAGGGTCCTCTGGCTCTTCCTCTGTGCTGCCAAGGAGTCTGGATGCTGCTGAAATCAGAACTCCAAGCCCTGGTACTCATTCTGGTCTTCCTGCTGCTTGGTTCCAGGGCCAGAGGGTCAGGGTCCCCACTTACCTTTTTCTTCAGGTCTCCGGCCGAACAAGCAGACCTTTAACCCTGCAGACACCAATGCCTTGGTGGCAGCTGTTGCCTTCGGGAAGGGGCTGTCTAATTGGAGACCGTCAGGCAGCAGTGGTCCTAGCCAACCAGGTCAGCCAGGAGCTGGGACAATCCTTGCAGGAGCCTCAGGCTTACAGCAGGTGCAGATGACAGGAGCTCCAAGCCAGCAGCAGCCAATGCTCAGTGGGGTGCAAATGGCCCAAGCAGGTCAACCAGGTAAGGTGGCAGGGATTGACGTGGTGGCACACCTTGAGCAAGGAAGGGGGAATAAGCTGGAGTATCTGGGCCTCCATTCTCCCCAGAGCTAGAGATTTTCTCCTTTGGACTGTGACCCAGAAAACAATTTTTAGGAGTAAAAATCTCATTTGAGACTCTGTAACAGGCACCAGAGAACAAGGAATAACTTTGAGTAGCAGAGACTGCTCTTGCCTTCCACCCCCATCTCAGACTTCTGTCTCAACTACCCTTCTGTCCCATTTACTCTGGATATTAGGTATGTTGTCAGTGTCTTTTCTTAGAGAAACCAATGGTCAGACTTGAATTAAGACCATTTGGTGGAGGAAGATGGGCACGGATGTTAGTCCAGGGCCAGTCTTCCTCAGCAAAAAAAGTGGAGGATTGGCAGATGTTAGCTCAGGGCTGATCTTCCTCACAAAAAAAAAAAAAAAAAGACCATTTGGTAGGTACATTGGGAATTGACAAGCAGGCAAGTTTCCCAGCGCGACTTGTATTCTTTTCTCTGATCCTGTCTCTCCTGCTCAGTTTTAGTAATTATGAGAACAGTCTGGAGGAGTTCAGATGCAAGCAGCTAGAAGAGATGTTTTCTTCCAAGCTGTCTAGGTAAAGGGACAATTAAAATAAGAGAGAACATAGTACTCTTTTACCTTTGACATTAAATGGGCGTCACACAGGTTTAGCTGTCTTTTCCAGGAGACTGCTGGGGTGTGTTCTGACACCTCCCACTATTCCCCTGTGTCACCCCTTTCCTCCTAGACACCTTGAGGGAGAGGTGTATGAAGAACCACACCTCAGATCCTTGCCATCCAGGGTCAGATGCCACAGAGGTTCTGAAATGATAGAGAAGGTGGCAGAAGGGAACCTGAGACCAAATTTCTGCGTTATCATGAAAGTCTTACCATGCATCAGGTGTCTTTCTTCATGTTCCTTTTAGGGAAAATGCCAAGTGGAATAAAAACCAACATCAAGTCGGCTTCAATGCACCCCTACCAGCGGTGAGTGTGGCCAGCAACCTCCACTCCCAGAAGCTTTTTGCAGAGTTGGGCAGTGAAATTGCCTTTTGCCCAACCCTGACCTAGAGGGGTACAATAAAAAGAACATGGGCTTTCAGCAGCAGACCTGTCCCAGCTCCACCGCTGCCTAGCTGTGTGACCTTGGGCAAGTGACCTAATTTTTCTGAGCCTGTTTTCTTGTTTATAAATGGTGATAATACCTACCTCATAGGGTTGTTGTGAGGATTAAAATGAGAAAAAGAATGTAAAACACTTAGCACAGTATATGAAATAATGGGTATTCAATAAATGATAGTTTTTACAGCCACTTCTCCCTACTGCCCTCTTCAGTCCTCTATCTAGAACTTACCCTGATCTGATACCGCCTCATGTCAGTGGTGAGCTGGTGGACACAAGATCATGGACCGCTCAGCTCTGCTTGAATGCCTGTACTTATTTTGTGCTGCCAGAAACGGTGGCAGCCTCTATGTTCTTAGGGCACCCTGTCTCTGCAGGCCCTCCTGCCCAGGTTCCAGTATGGTTATCTCTCCATGCTGAAGGTGACAAGGCTTTTGGGATGGGACAGACTGTCCACTTGCAGCCTAGTGAAGCTTGGGCCTGCTGTACTCTCCATCTTCTGAGAAGCCAGTTCAGCTCTTAACATGGAAAACAGTCACAAAGTCCCCTCTCCTTTACCCACCCCCATACACATGAAGGAAGATGTCGAAGGCCCACTAGTTGGGGGCTTCCTCAGGAAGTGGCTCTACCAGACAAGACTGTGTGAGAAAGGGTTCTTCTTAGCACATGAAAAAGCCCCTTCTTCCCTGGACTCATTTTTCTTATTTTGGAGGGAGGGTGAAATTGCACCTCACACTGTCTTTCATCAAGGTTTGGTTGTCCTTATAATAGTGCCTGTGTCCTGGACTCCAGCCAGGATGGCTTTCCTCTAGTCCACTGAGCCTGTGTGGCTCAGATGAGATCCAGATTGATGGTGGGAGGGGGTAGTCCCCAGTACCTTTGCCTGCTTTTATAAAGCTGAAGAGCAGAGCGAGTTTGAGTCTTCAGCCTAAGCTGCCTTTCTTAGTGCTCCTTTGTGGGCAAGGGCAGGGGTTGAGTCAGCAGAAGTGGACCAAAGGGTTTCTTTGAATAAAGTTATTTGAATTGATGGCCACTGTATCAGGGTTATCTGGCAGCAATTTATGTGAGAGCTGTATAGGGATCAGAGAGTTTCAAGGGTGCTGCAAGGCAATTCTAATTTGTTCTCCATAAAAAGTTTTATTATCTTTGATTATCTTTGATCTAAAAGTCCTGAGAGGTTTGAGAAGGGTCTGCTCATCCCTTCCAGCTGCCTTTTTTCTGTTCTCTTCTGTCACACACACTAGTACTTCAGCATTTGTTCAGTGCCAGGCAGAATTCTGCCAGGCTGTGGCAGCAAAGGACTGGAAAAGTGGTCCCAGATGTCACATCCAGTCCTGTGCCATCAAGACAATAAGTAGTATGCACAAAGCTCACTGACCGTAGCACACAACAGCACAGGGAGTCTTGTCATCAGCTCTGAGGCAATACCAGACCTTTCCCTCACTTCAACAGTCCGGCCTTACTGCTCTCAGCCCACTCAAGTGTTGTTTATCTTCTTATCTCTTCCCTTCCCACTGGAAATGTCAAAGCCAGCTTTCATATTGGATAGAGTTCAAACTGTGTGGAGCATCTTTTGGTGACTGCTGTCCTTTCTTTCACCAAAAGATTCCCTCCTATTGAAAGACACTTCCAGTTGTCGTCCCAGGCTAATACTGACTTCGTTCCCACCATACTATGTGAAATGGATTCCTTGTCCTCCCAGAGTGGAAATGTCCTCTCGCCCCAACAGAAACATAAGCAGGACCTCCCCTACATCTTGTGCCCTTAGGCAAACACTCCTTACTCTGGAGGCACTTGTATCTCTATGTTCTTCACTCTGGGAGCACATGCTCTCATTTCCAACCTTCCAGTCCTCAGGAGTACACAATCCTATGTAGCGTTGCCAACTTTGGGGCCCATACAACCCAGTAAATGCCTCAATGGAGAGTATCTCCCACCCCTAACACCCTCATTCCCTCAAGAGGGAATATATGTGGAGTTTCCTTTGAGGAAGAGGACATGACCTGCTTACTAGTTCAGATTTAGGATTTGCAGAAGATTGCTCTCTTGCTCCACTGTGGTAGTATTCCTCAGTTTCTGACTGCTCTGTTTTACCTGGGGACTGTGCTTTTTCCTACTCTTGGGGCCCCTGGAGAATGAGATTAGGTCACTGTCTCCCGGGTTTATGTCTCAGTAGAGAAAGCAGCAGCAGCAGCGGTGAAACCTCAAGATCTTACTGCAGCACAGAATTCATCCTGCTGAAGGCTGAAGCTTACTGAATCAACGTCAGCATGATGCCCACTGCCTAGGACCTTTCCCTCTCCGGCTCTGCCCTGAGGCTGGGATTCGGTCCTCGTTGAACCTCGCTTTTGCTCATTTTCCCAGTCACCCCATTCTCCTCCCATTCTGGTGTCTGTTGCTGCCCTACCTAGCTATCTGACATCACTTAACCTCGTACTTCCTTGGGAAACAGTCAAGATAGATAGATTATAGCTAAGTGCTCCTTCCAACTCCATAATGGGTCCTGGCATTTGGACTGAGGTGGAGGGGGTGTATTGCCCATCTCTTGTCCTGCTGTCAAAGGGAAGAAGCTGAACGCTGCAGGAATGCCCTAGTACAAGGCTGGTCCCTTTTCCCACCCCCTTCTCACCTCCCCCAGGCAGCTGGGAACAACCTCTCCCTTTGTCTGAACTTCTTGTAGAGAATAATCCTCCTTATGGACAATGTATTCTCTGTGCTCTGTGGACACAGGAGCCGTGTGAGCTGATCCCAGCACCAGGCAGGACGGAGGCTGAATCCTTCCAAACGCCCACCCTGGGTCAACTCCTGATCACTGTCCAGAGAAACTACTAATGGATGTACATTTTCTTTCATCAGTTCCAGATTTGGGGGGATAGCCTGTTGAAGTTTATCAGTGGGCCAGGAGTAGGGCCAGGGGCTGTGTTCCCTTTTTGGTTCAGTCCTGAGGGTTCACTGTACCAACCTATGGAGGCTCGATGTGGCTCAGGCCTGACCGCCTCTAAACACAGGGGCTGACACTTGGAAAATATTTGCCACCCTGCAGACAGGGCTTTCTAACTGGAACAGAAGGCAAACTCTCCAACCTATCTGATAGGGCTGTCGTAGCACCCTATCACTTCAGCATGTGTTTTCTCCCACAGGACAGACTTCCTCTCTTATTTTCTTTAACTTCCCTCTCTTTCTGTTCTTGAGCTCCTGTGTGTCACTGAGGCAGATCTGGGATCTCTATTATGGTCTCTTGCTGAGTTCGCATGCTCTCAAGATGTCACCTACCATTTGGACATGGCAGCTTCCCCAATGCATTATGGACAAGACACCTACTTCCCTGGGCTTCGGTTTTCTCACCAGGTGATCCAGTGATCCTTCCTAGCTTTCAAGTCTCTGGCAATGATTCTCAAGCCTATTTGTCACCAGGCATTTTTTCATTTTCCTCATTGCATGACTATGTTATCTAAAATAGGCCACATTTTTCCTAGATCAGTCCCCAAATCCCTCAGACCCCTACAAACTGTTCCAAAAATTCCGTCTGTCACCTGCAACGTAACATGCCAGCATCCCTTAGACCACTTGCTTAAAATTGTTTTCCAGGTTTCCCTAGTTCTCTTGTGAAAACTCATCAAAAAGGTGGTAAGTTACCAGAGAGATATATGTTTTGTCTGTCAGCAGTCTCCTTCCCACTCTTAGGCATCCTTCTCCTCCCCTGGGCAAGATATATGTAGCAGGGAGACTTCTCCAGCACGAGCAGTAAGTTGTCCTTTCTCCATGTGATGATAACCCTCCCTTCTAAATCTAATCCAAGAGCCCTGGGCTGTCCCCTTCCTACTTTCCCTCTGCCAGTCCACTGCTTTCCCTTGTTCTCACCCTAATTTTCCTAGTTTGTGGTCATTTTGATTCTTCATTTTTTCTTGTCCACACCCCCACGTGTAGACCATCCTTGTTCTTTTTACTAATTTCTCTGGGCTGCACCCTTTACATGGCCCTGGTTGGTGTCCTTTTAGTGTCACTTCCATGTTAATCCTTCTTGACCCCACATCCCCACTCACTGACTCACAGCCACACTCTTGAAATAAAGAGCTTACAGTCACTGTCCCTTTTTCCATACCTCCCATTGACTCTTCAGCCCCGCAGTTGGGCATCTGCTTCCACCATTTCTCTGGAACTGCTCTATCAGAGATCACTGTTGCCCTAATGGCTAAATCCGGAGTTTTTGCAATCCTCATATTCCTTGATCTCCACAGTGTTGAACGGTTCTGACCACTTCCTTTGCTGCCGCTTGGCTCCTGCCTCTCGGACCATTCCTTCTCTGCAGCTGTTGGCCTTCTGTCCCTCTGCTTGCTTCTTGGATGTTGTTATTCCCCAGGACTCTGTCCTTAGCCCTCTTTTCTTCTTCTTCTACCTGCTGTCTCTGTGACCACCACTTTTGGGTACATAACTCAAACTTAAGTTTTGTTTTCAGCCCAGACCTCTTTGCCAAGCTGCAGATGCCTATGGGGCATCCCTGCCTGTATGGTCCACAGGTACCTCAGGTTCTGAACGTCCAAATCTAATCATCCTTCCCTCAAAACCTGTTTCTTTTCTAGTTTCCTGAGTCTGACCTAAGCCAGGTCTGTGGAAGCCATCCTGAACTCTTCTGCCTCTGTGTCCCAGCCTCCTGTACACAGTGAGAAACCAAATCCTGTCAGTTCTGTCTCCCCAATGCCCTGTGTGTAGGCCCTGGGCTTCTCACCCTAAAAGTATTGTTCAGACTCCAGTCTTCAGTCTTGCCCCCTCTGACTCATCTTCCCTGTAGCTGCCAGGTGGATTGTTCTAAACTGCAGGTGTGATCACATTACTCTCTTGATTAAAATGCTTTTGATAGAGCCAGCCCTGATGGCCTAATGGTTACAGTTTGGCATACTCTGCTTCGGGGGCCTGGGTGTTGTTCCCGGGCATGGAACCACACCACCCGTCTGTCAGTAGCCATGCCATGGCAGTGGCTCACACTGAAGAACTAGAAGGACT